CTATTGCTATATATTAGTTTTAGTTGGTGTATTATTATATATATATATATATATATATATATATATTTGGAAATATTTTTTATTTTGGAAATTTTGTTTTTAGGTGACAACAGATGATGGTTATATTCTGAGTTTACAAAGGATACCTAAGGGAATATCTGGAAAGGAAGCAACTAATCCACCTGTTCTTCTACAACATGGACTATTAATGGTTAATTAATTCTTCACTTTAATTTTAATTATGCTTATTCTTTTACTTCACATTGACAAAAAGTCGACGAACAAAGCATTTTATATTTATCTAGTATTTAGGAAAAGGTGAAATAATTACAGAATAAATAGAGATAAAAATAAATATTTGAGAACTTGAAAAAGGAGGGTAAACCTCTCTAAAGGAAGAAGACCTAGCTTAGCTTTCTTTCGCACTCTAAGGAATATAATGTAGACAGTCTACTTTAATGCAAGTATCTCTAGGCTAGTAATTGCTTCTACGACTTGAACTCGTGATCGCACTAGATTATTCTATCGTTTCTCTAAATTTCAAGCTTTTTCAATTTAATTTCATACATTACTTCATTTTCTCAAATCTCGACCAAATCATGTTCAAACACTTGTTACAAACTCTATTTTTGTGGCGATTAAGTTAGCGACCTTCAGTGACAACAACTGATAGATCGCCACAAATGGTTATCATTGTAGTGTTAACGAAGTTAATTGCAAGCTTAATGGTTAATTCTTCTAACTAATCTAAATATTAATTTTCTATTGAGAACAATCTCTTTACCTATAAAATTAAGGTAGGGGCTATAACTTATTAAGCTATATACAGACCATTCTATTCAGATCTTATATATGAGATTATACCGTTATTGTTGCTATAGTCGAAATAATATTTTATTTTTTTTATTTAATGACAGGATGGAATTACATGGCTACTAAATCCTACAGATGAATCATTAGCTTTCATTCTAGCAGATAATGGTTATGATGTTTGGATTGCAAATACAAGAGGAACTAAGTATAGCCAAGGACATACATCACTTAGCCCTCAAGATCCAGTTCAGTTTCATTAATTATATTTGCACTATATAAATCTCATATATTTAATGGTAACATTAGCATAATCGATAAAGTTACAGTCTGGTTTGAATTGTTAAAATAATCTCTCGCAAAAATACAAGTTAAGATTGTAGACGATAGACCTTTATGATCCAACTATTTCTGAACTCCGCGCATAGTCAGAGCTTAATGCACTGAGCTACCCTATTATTATCTCATATATATATATATATTTAGTATATTAGCCAAAATAACAATTTTTATAATTTAATCTATTTTTTTTTCAATTATGAACAGGCTTATTGGGAATGGTCATGGGATGAATTGGTGGATTTTGATTTACCTGCTACATTTAAGTATGTTCATGATCAAACTGGCCAAAAGTTACACTATGTGGGCCATTCTCTGGTGATTTTCTGGCTATTTTTTAAATAGTATTTCACTTTCTTGATCTAAAAATGGATAATTATTGCCATAAACAATTCGATCCAATAGTTAACAAATTAAAATACATAAATCGTGTAAGTTTTATACTTAAATATACATATTCTATACATTTAGTATACATATTTATAAATATAACATATATAATCAATTTATAAAGTGTGTATATTTCGATCATATCAATTTACTAGTCCAGTTGAATTATATATATCTAAAGATCCTTTCATTTCACTTATGGTCATCAAACTTATCTTTTTAGACACTAAAGTTATAAAACTTACTTTTTGTCACAAACGGTTATTTTCAATTCTATCTTTAAACAATAGTTATTATCATATAGTTTTAAAACTCACGAGTAAGAATTTCAGATAATATCTCGACTTTTCACATGTAAAATTTGAAAACAAAAAACTATTTTTAGATTCCAAAGATTGAAAACTGGCTATTTCTTAAAATGGACGTTACCTCTTCATTTAAAAAATAATCAGCCATGTAGCTTAAAGTTTCATAAACTGAAAAGTGGGGCTATAGTTCAACTATTTTTAAATGAAAAATTAGTTTTGTAACTTTAAAATTTAATGACCATCAATGAAGTGTAATGATTTGGGCACCGTCACGAAGAGAGGCTCGATGAAATAGACATGTTTGTAAAGATGCAAATAGACGGTCCCTCGAAAAATGTGAATCTAATAGTTGTTTAAGAATAACTAAACTTTTTTTTTTTGAAATCTCAGGGAACTTTGATTGCATTTGCAGCAATTTCAGAAAATAAGCTATTAGACATGTTGAGATCAGCAGCTTTATTAAGCCCAATTGCTTATTTGGGGCAAATAAAATCTCCTCTTGCAAAAAGTGCTTCTCAAAATTTTATAGCTGAAGTAAGAGAACTAATTTTCTTTTATCATTTTAAGCTCCCGTTTAGTTATAGATTTCGATAGTAGATATTATTTTTTATAATATAAAATAGGGATAATGCACAAGTACCCCTCAACCTATGCCCGAAATCTCAGAGACATACTTATACTATATTAAGGTCCTATTACCCCTGAACTTATTTTATTAATAATTTTCTATCCTTTTTCGGCCTACGTGGCACTATTTTGTGGGTCCATTGTTGGTTGACTTTTTTTTTAAAAATAGTGTCACGTAGGCGAAAAGAGGTAGAAAATTACTTCTAAAATAAGTTCAAGGGGGTTATAGGACCTTAGTATAGTATAAGTGTTTCTCTGGGATTTCGGTCTTAGGTTAAGAGGGTAATTGTGCATTTTCCCTATAAAATAAAACTAAAAGTTCCAAAAACTAGTATTGAGATTGACCAGTTTTTGGATTTTCGGGTGAAATTTCACTTTCCCTTACAAAACTTTAATATTTTTTTCAAATAAAATGTATGTTCAAACATAATTTCAAATTTCATGAACTATTTTTTAACAAACTTCATGAACTCATTTTTTTTATGTTTTAATTAAATCTATAGGTAAACGCTAGCTTAGACATGCAACTTTGATTACATTTTGAATAAAAGTAGGTAAACATTTCCTTTTTATGTTTTTATTTTCCAGGGTTTGTATTGGTTGGGAATCCATGAATTTGATCCAAGAGGGTAAGATATTTCGAATGATCATTCAACTTTTAGTTTAAACAAACAAACAACTATCTATTATATTTTTGACTAATAGATTGCCCTGTTTCGAATAGTTTAAAAATTGACATATTTTTTGGGGAAAATGCATAAGTATCTCCTCAACCTATGCCTAAAATTTTAGAGACGCACTTGTAATATACTAAGGTCCTATTACCATCCTGAACTTATTTTATAATAATTTGCTAACCCTTTTCGACCTACGTGACACTAGCTTGAAAAAAAATGTCATCACTTGCTGGACCCACAAGATAGTGTCACGTAGGCCGAAAAGGGGTAGAAAATTATTTATAAAATAAGTTCAGGAGGTAATATGACCTTAGTATAGTATAAGTGTGTCTCTGAGATTTTGGGCATAAGTTGAGAGGGTACTCGTGCATTTTTCCTATTTTTTTGTTTTCATGGATTAGTCATTAAAAAGGCTTTTTTAGCTATTTGGATAGTTGAATGATATTTTTAAGTTCGTTGTTTCACAACGATGAGTCATTTGGGGGAAACAACATAACGAATGGTAAAGTTGATCTAATTTAAATAGTTCAGAAGTACTTTTGGCCTTTTTTTTTGCTTCTTTTATACTTTAGTTATTTATATCATATCAAAAATACATTTCATATTTGTAAAATTCATTTTGAATTTGCACTTTTGACTGAATTATATACAGAGAGGCTGTTGTCAAACTTTTGGAAAAAATATGCCAACATCCAGGCAACAATTGCAGTGACTTAATGAATTCTTTTACTGGTATCTCAATTCTTCCACCCACTCATTCTTTTACATTTTTTTTGGACAAAGTTACGTATCTGGCTGATCGACTAAAAATAATTATATTCGTTAGTCAAACACATACATATATATACAAAAAATATACATTTATTGACTATGCATTTCTCATTTTCTTTTTATAATGTATACTATTTTTTTATGGTAGGCCCAAATTGTTGTGTGAACTCTTCAAGAACTGATATTTTTCTTGAGCATGAGCCACAGGCAACAGCAACAAAAAACATGGTCCATATAGCCCAAAGTAAGTTTTTGCTACTTCAATGCACATAAATATACATAAAAACTTGAAATTTCGGTATAATTTAACGTATGATCACTAAACTTTACTGCTATATAAAAAGGCTCTATTTTTTAATTAAAGTAACCGAATCGTATGTCTCTAATATGCAAATGATTGAAAGGTCAAATTGACCACAGAGACGCCAGGTTATGCCACGTCACTCACCACATTATCCGCCTAGTCGCTCCGTAACATTTCACCTTGTAAATAAAAAAAATTGTGGTCTTTTTCTCTCTTCATATTCTATAACATGAAATTTAAAGAGTGACAAAGCCCTTCTCATCATTTGTATATTATGATCAATTCACTCATAGTTTAAGCAACACAATACATAAAATTCTAGCTTTGCTATTGACTTTATTTTTATTTATTTTTTGGATAGTGACAAGAAAAGGGACTATAGAAAAATTTGACTATGGAAATGATGAAGAAAACAACAAACATTATGGTCAACCAAATCCTCCACAATACATAATTTCAAATATACCAAATAATATCCCACTATTTTTAGGCTATGGAGGGGCAGATTATCTTTCTGATGTGAATGATGTGAAAACTTTGTTGGATAAATTGCAAAATCATAATCCAGACAAACTTGTCTTGCAATATACAGAAGATTATGCACATGCTGACTTTGTTTTTGGTACAAATGCTAAAGAAATTGTGTATAATCCTATAATGGCCTTCTTTAAACTTAATTAAAAAGATCTTATTATAAGGTTAATGTATATTTGTTGTTATTGATATTTTTCATTATATATTATAGTGTTTTAGTTGTGACTTGTGATTCAAAAGTTGAATAAGTAGTATATATATATTCCCTCTTTTTATTTAACTTAGCCTATTATATCGAATATATTTCAATTTACTTGTTCAGTTTTTGAAATCAAATGAATTTTATTAGAGTATATTTTATAGTATGGTATTTACCAGTATTATAACAAACAAAGAATGTTATAGTAATTATATGGCGGTAATAATATAATTGTCATAATTATATTATATTTAACGATAATAATAAGTATGAATACTTATAATCAACACTCTATATAAATATCTATTATTATTTTAGCAACTCTGGATATAATGATATAACTCAATTGCCATTAAAAAAATTTGTGACAATATATCAAGAAAATATATTGTTACTAAATATCGTATTGTTGTAATGTAATAGATAAATTTAGAATTTTAAAGCATCATTAATAATATTACTTTAACAAAATATACCTCCGATTTGTGTGCCGCGTTAACATTGGTCAAGTTAAATAAAATGAAAAAAATAACTACATAAAATAGCAATAAAAGAAATTACGAATATATATTGTTCGAACAACTAATTTACCATTTTCCCAAGAACAAAAAGGCATGTAGGAATTAGAAAGTAACTAAAAACCAAAGGGACATAATAACATAAAATAGATGAGAAAATTGCAAGATTCAAATTACCTAATGTTAGGTAATTTAAAATTGCAACAAAATTGTGAATAGGAAATGAAACCACGATATCAATTAAGTGTTTAATTAACTTAATGCTTAATTAATATAAGTAAGTTCTACACCTAATACAAATTGGTTTTGTATTTTTTTCAATTAATAAGAGAAGACGTAAACACAAAGCATCCAAAATTTTGACTAATTAGCTAACTTTTATTAAAGGAACCGAATATTACTAATCTTACATGATTAATATATTATTCATATGTAGAGATATTTGTATTTATATTAGCTGTTATCATTCAATAACGAGGGCTGATTAATATATTGTTCATATATAGAGATTAATGTATTTTTATTAGCTGTTATCAGTAACAGAATCAAGATTTTTACTAAAAGAATATAAAATAATAATTTTAAATATGTATGAATAATATAATTTCTTGTCAAGTAAGGTGATCCTTTCTAAGTTTGGTGATTCGATGAAAAATCAATTTTAGTTCCCGAGTCAATTTGATTTTGTAAGGTTATCAAAAATAAATATTTATTGAGTATTTTAATAAAATTTACTGATAATTTAAGAGACTATCGATATATTATATATTAATATGCATGGCAAGAAATAAAATGATTATGCAAATTTTACATCATTATTTAATATGACGATATATTATTTTATCGTACTGGCTTTAGAATATGTTCCAAAATTGTCACTACATTTGTCACATTAAAGAAATGAAAATGAGTATTTTATCTTTTATGGAGTACTATTTGATTTTATGAAGATTTTTCATCATTTTTTAATATGGTGAAATATTTTATATTGACTTTAGAATATATTCCAAAATTCATATGTATCGGCAGTTGGCTACTACTTTAATAATTTGTCACGATAAACAAAAAAATGTGTACGTTCTGCTAACTCTTATTATATTATTATTATTAATTATTTATTTATTTATTAGAGTACTATTTTAATTTATGATGATTTTGCTGGCAAAAAATGATTTAAAATAAATTCCAAAATAAATATTGACATAATAAGGTTAAATTATACTGATAAATGGTTGATATTTATTTGTATGCATCGATTGCTTATCTAAAACCAATAAATATATAATATATGTTAATATATAACCATATATATTGCTCAATCATAGCTAATTAATGAATCATTTTAACCATACTATATCATATTTATTTAGTATAAGCAAAAAAGAGTTTTAACAACTTGACTTGGAATTGATATTTATTAATAATATTTTTAGCTAAATTTTTAAATCAATTTATTAAAATATTTTTCTTGAAAAAAAATGTAATTAAGAGAGAAGCATAAGCCGTTATATAGGCTTGATTGGTTAATTATTAATCATACAGTATAAGATAATTTCAATTTTCAAATTTTTATTATTCATTTTAACTTATGATTGTAAATATATATTATTCACTTTTTTTTTATTAAGAATAATATTACTTATCATATAAACAAATCTATAGAATTGATAAATTAAAGATATCAATATCATGGTGTTAAAATAATAATTAAAAAAGTTTAAGTTTTACATGCACAAATCTCGAAATGTTAATTCACATGGCTTTTGAGTAGTTAGAGAGCTACTCTCCCCGTCTTAAAATATTTAGTTGTGTTTTTTATTTACATGGTTTTTAAATTAATTAAAAAAAATGTTCAACTATTATATCATATTTAATGTTTATAATACAATATTTACATGTACAAATCTCGAAATGTTAAATTCACATGGCTTTTGAGTAGCTAGAGAGTTACTCTCTCCGTCTTAAAATATTTAATTGTTTTTTTATGGGAAAATAGCCAAGTACCCCCTCAACCTATGCCCGAAATTCCAGAGACACACTTATACTATACTAAGGTCCTATTACCCCTGAACTTATTTTATAAGTAATTTTCTACCCCTTTTTTGTCTACGTGGCACTAGTTCGAAAAAAGAAGTCAACCATCGTTGGTCCCACAAGATAGTGTCACGTAGGCCGAAAAGGGGCAAAAAATTATTAATAAAATAAGTTCAGGGGGGTAATAGGACCTTAGTATAGTATAAGTGTGTCTCTGGGATTTCGAGCATAGGTTGAGGAGGTACTTGGGCATTATCCTTTTTTTTATTTACATGGTTTTTAAAATTAATTAAGAAAAATGTTTGACTATTTTATTGTATTTAATGTATATAATACATATATTTATTGAATATTTACTTTATTTATGTATCATAATTGAGATATATAGTCTTCAAGAGCAAGTACGATTCCAGCTAGTGGGGGGAGTCAACATTTTTAGATGATGAGGTTCAAAATTCAAAAAAATAGATACACGAAGTAGTCCGAGGGGTTCGACATCTATTATAGATATTTAACAAATTAGTTTAACCATGTATAAATAAAATAAATTTTTACCGAAGAGGGTTCTAATGGACCCCAACTTGTAAGGTGGCTCCGCCAATGACTACAATACTCCTCTATACATTTTTTACTTGACACAATTTTCAAGTAGTATATCGCTCTTTAAATATAATAACTTGAATATTTGGAAAAAAAATGCATCAAATAAATGAATAGTACTTAGTAATAAGAGTAAATACTGAATATATATAAAATGATAAGTTATCTCTTGATTATTTAAAGCTGGACAAGAAAAAATAAACTTTTATTTTTAGTATATTTTTGACAAGTAAAAATGAATGGTGGAGTACTAAAGGTAAAATAAGAAAAAATTAATTAATTTGTCTTGAGCTTTTAAAATGATTTTTTTTTAAATAAGTATATTTAATAAGAACGATAAATATTTTGAAATAGAGAAAATACGAGGTTAATTTAATTGTGATTTTTGTAATCCAAATTGATAACCGAGTATAATAGAGCAATTTTTAATGAAAATGACATAGTATAGACTATATAGTATCCTAGTTTTTTTAATAAAACGAGGGACTAATATAATGTTTGTAAGATAGTGATATAAAAGAGTTGTGATTATTGTAAGATAGTGATATAAATTACTAAACGTGACTAGGTGAAATGAATCTATAAATTATATAAAACTAATCGTGATATCTTTGATTAGTAGAATTTTTCTTAATTAACAATTTCTTCAAGTTTGATGGGTGGTTTGGCCGCTTGTTAGGAAAGTGAATTACTCATATATTAAAATTAGCATAATTAATATAATGTTTGATAGTGTTTTAAGCGTTAGATACGTATAAAATTTAACACATCAAATATATATCCTATTCAATTATTTATTTATAATGTCATATATATATATATATGATCTGAAGAAAATCATACAAATATAACAAAATGTCATTAGAACAAATTATCGTTACAATAAAATTACAAGATTTACACGTCATTAAACATAAATAAATTAAAAGGTGATAGTGCATCTACTTTGAGGAATAGTGTAAAGTGTTGCGTTATTAGAAGGCCAATATATATATATATATATATATAAGTTTCCATTATTAAAAATCTTTTGACCGAAATATGAAAAATCAAACAACTTTTGTAATATATAAAATATAGTAATTTGGTTCGCTTTTTTTTTTTAGAGAGAAAAAAATTTGTAGAGAAATTTATAATTATTATTTATTAGTATAGGTTATATATATCAACAAGTTTGTTGTAATTTGTGACGATCATGATTGAGAAGATATTTAAAAAAAAATTATTCGTAATCGTTGTGATGAAATAGAGATACTTTATGCGATTTTTGTTAGTTTAATTTGCTTTTTCATAACCAAATTGTATATTACGTATTGGAAGAAAAAATCATGTCATATTTTATCACAATAACGGTAATTTAAGTTTGGTATAATATAAAATATCAAACTATACTTGCTTCATACGAGCTACGTGCATGGGTGTTTAATTGCAATAAATCATATTAATGTATCAAGATTAAGAAATTTAATGAAGAGAGAGTATATATTAATTAATTATATTAAGTGAATTTATTATTTATAAATTATAAATATAAGTTATATATGCATTTATTTGCAACAGAATTAAAGAGATCGAAAGTAAATTGAAATTATAAATAAAAATAACGAAATATAATGCTTTTGATAAATATGTAGACGCAATTTTGTTTTTTTCTCATGATAAGATATATATCCCTAATTTGAGGGTTGGTATATTTTTTGAATACTTTAAATTTAACATCTTTATGAATATTTTATGAATTTGTGTAATATTTGAGATGTTTTTTTTAAGAGAATACAATACTCTTTATCTAAGAA